GGGTTAACAACTCCCTCAACCCTCATTATTGCTGTTATTAAACATTTCTTATCTTTGACGTAAGTTAACGTTAACTACATTTATAGGTGGTGCTACGTCCTTACACAAAAAATGAGATTTTTTTTTTAACACAACATACACAAAGTGTGAGAGGAAAGCCTACAAACATCTTCTATCTAGAGAGTGCACTAGCACACTCTATGGAGAAATGCAATGAAAAAAATGGCCGACACTATTGCAATAATACATAAATTCAGCTGAAGTTTTAACTCCAGCAGCCATCATAAGGCTGATATGAAGAACCGTTTCTTGAGTTATGCCGACTATACCCGTGACCTTTCAACTTCGGCTCGTAAGACACTTCTTCGGTCAATAACCGTCAATTAATTAGTTACGCGAGATACTGTGGAAGGACATTAAGAGTTGGGTGTTAAACGTGGGTAACAAAAAGCATCCCTACCGCCATTATTTTTGCCGCTTCCTCTTAACACAAAGTCACGCTGACCATCGCACAGTGTATACCATGTTTTAAGTATATACATATTGAGTTCTTAAACCTTGTACAGCATTTTGGTGAGATAATAATGAATACTGTAATAATATGTTATGTTATAAATAAATTGTATGAAAGTTGGGATTTGTTAAAGTTCATAACCCGGACAAAGGACGAGTACATCAGCTTGTATAGAGATAAATCCCAGATCTTTCTGCTCTAGTCCGTTAGGACTGTTGTAAGATATATTTATGCTAAGTCTCATTTGAATTCATGGAACTAAAAGAATATAAAATGTTTTTGCAGTGTTTAACCGTTGATCCACATTATTTCGGAAGTGAGGGTTAAATTTAAACAATGAAAAAGTATGACTGGGCATATTGAACCAATTTATAAATGTTGAGACGATCGACCCAAAAAATAGGGGAGTGACGAGCGATTGTAATTGTTGGAAAAGAGATTAAAGAAATAAAGAAATTACAACATATTTTCCTCCTTATGGAGAGGCATAATTAACCGAGATTTTGGGGTGTCGGAATGAAATATTAGCTTGCATTTCATTAAAGTCTGACAAGTCGTTTTAGAGTTAAAGATGTTTAAAATATGTTTAGACTTAATAGTTATGCAATCACGCAAAAACTAATAAGGGTATAAAAAATGTGTCTGATTTGATAGTGATTATAAAATCTCATAGGAAATTTCTGCGCAAGTTTTATTAAAGTCAGTCTGTTCTTTCAAAAACATTTATTGTGTTTCTGAGGTGAATAGAATTAGCCATTAATCAAAAAAATAATAAAATTATATTCTTTGTGCGAGAAATGAGATATCATGATATACGGTTTAGTTCAATTTCACTAATATCCAACCAGTCATTTAGGAGCTACACATGTTTAACTTCTTTGACGTGCTTCTTGCGAACTACTCTAACTCATATACAGAACTGAAAATAACTCAAAAACTAATAATGTATTAAAATGTTCTAACAAACTTATAAACTTGCTTTGGCTATATAGAAATGTATGATGCAACGTTTCAGCATAAATGTGTCACACTCATGTCATGTGTTGGCCTATCCTGACCCTGAGAACGTTTTCGTTGTTGACAATGGCGCCGTTCTCTTAAATTCATAAGGAAGAAAAACGAATAATGACCCATTGCCAATAGGATCTGGATCATTCTCAGAGATCACGTCATTGAACAGTACCAACGTTGTTTTGGGGAAGAAGTTCACGTGTTTATGTTAAAGATGTTTTTCTAAAAGGGCTCATGAACTTTCAAAGTCCAGAAGCGATGATATTCAAATGGATAGTAATCCTTCAAAAACTTTAATTTGAAAAATCGTCTTGGTACCAAATATTTGAATGGATATTCCAGTAACTGGTACATAATTGTCCTTTCACAAATCTACAGGTAAGACTCGTGAAACCTCCTAGTCCATATCATGTCAAGAATGATAGAGAATCTCTATGATTTCCAACAAACCCAAAACTTAACTTTGGTAACTTTCTTAGTACACCATCGAGGACCTTATTACTAGACAGTAAGAAGATAAAACAACATATGAATCACGTAAACGGTCCAACTGAAGGATGAGATCAAAGCAGAATGTTTTGATTTTCCTGTCGTTTTGGCTCAGTGCAATGACTTGGGAGACTGCAGTTGCCTTCTTTACCATAAATAAGAAAGGGAGTCAGAAGAATTTCAAGCTTCAACAAATGCTCAGAGGTTTTAGAGCAGAGTTGATAGCGTTTCTATATCTCCAAATTAGTTTGAGAATTATAAAAGAATTACAAGCAACAATCTGATTTTGGTACAAGGAATATATTGCACACTGTTGTAAGTTGTGCACCACCTAATGTCAGACGAAACAAGAAGAAACCAAGAGATGGCTTAGTGTACCAGCATGAAGTAGGTCATTTTTTGGTAACTTCAAATGGTAACATATACATTCTGGCGAGAACATGTTAATTCATTAAGTGAAGTTTTCTTCCTACCAGGCTATACAACCCCATCCATCACAGATGCCTTTACTTAACTGTTCATCTCTAAAATTAAAGCTCAACAAGAACTTCACACAGAACAGGAGACCAAATTTTAAAGTCTTTTGGTGGAAGAATGAAATTGCTTACTTAGAAAGTCTTCTGTGATGAGGGGGAAAGTTGAAAATTTAAGTTGTAATATGCTGTAAACAAATATATAGGTTACAGCCTCATTACTCGCCAGAGAAGAAGAGGCCCAGTCCTTGTCGCTAAGGCATGTACCAGACCCAATCTGGAAATTATTCATATTCCTAAGAGCTTTAAATTCAAAACCTCTGAATATAACCACAAGCAAATTGATTTCTGAGAACGACTTGCGACTATCACGAGTACAGTCTGGAAAAGTAAAAAGAATAAGAGGGCACAAAAGATTTAAAACATATTGTCTGAAAGATTTAACCAGAACGTTGTGTGGTAAGTTGAATTGTTAATCAAAATACTTTTCGAGGGATAGCTAATTGTTTAATTCTTTAGTTTTGTTGGCAACATATCGGTTGTTGTGCGAAATGCTTGGGGTTCGATTGTACTCTTAGGGAAAGGAAAAATAGAATTATAGGAATTAAAAAATAAATATAATATGCAAAAGATTTATATTTATAAGAGGAATTTACCTTACTATAATATATCCTTCGTAACCGCTCTCTCTCAATATATATATAATATATATATATTTAGAAGTATGTATATGCATATATTGTTTTCTCATTATTATTATTACCTTCGGTGCTCCTCAGTGGCTCAGTGGTAAGCCTGAATGTTTATAACACTAAAAACCGAGTTTCCATGCCCATGGTGGGCACAGCACAGATACCCTATTATGTAGCTTTGTGCTTAACAGAGAATACACACAAAAATTACCTTCAGTATACTTATTCTCAAACATATTAATTAGGTAAACATTGGTCTTATTTTTAAAGTTGTTACTTTGATTTTACAGGAAAAAAAAACAACTGAAATTTATGAAAGGAAAACATGTTGTTATTAGGGTTCAGAAAGCTTATAATAATAACTCAATATACATATAAAGTGATCCTGACGTAACACTTTGATTCCAGCTAGTAATGCATTTAGACACTTAAAGAACATTCAAAGAAAATTTACAGTAAAAAGTTGTCATTTTACGAACACATTAACTACTCCTGTTTCTAAAGCAAATAGAATCGATTTCAGTTTTAAGCAGAAAAATATGTTTATGTTTATAAGGTTATTTGACATTGTTACCCACTAGTGGATCACTCGTAAGCTTGAAGGCTTATAACGCTAAAATCTGGGGTTCAATTGCTTCAGTGGGCACAGAACAAATACTCTACCGTGAAACTTTATACTTAATAGCAAAACGAACAAACACTCTGACATTTCGTTTTAGAGGATTTCATCAGATAACCTTTCAGTCATCAATCTGAAGTGAGGATATATCTTTCAATCGTCTTTCTAGGCCGATGAATATCCGTTCCAACTGAAAATATAGGATTATTTCATGCCACAAAAGCAACATGTATTTGACCTTGTGAAAGTATACAAAGAAACCTTTTCTTTTTATGAGCAGAGAAGAGATAAATATGGCTTAAAGTAAACATGACGAAATAAACTGTTCGTCACAGCAATAATCTGAAGAAGGGTGAGTCCCTGGTCATTATCCAGTCGACGGCTGATAAGGGTAGTGACAGGCTTTTACTTTATCTTCACACAACTTATATGATTAATAAATATATGAAAAAATCCATGTTTTGTCTTTATTCAGAAACTACAAAAAAGACATTTCATAATATTCAGAACAACTTAATGTTACTCTACACCGAACATTGAACTCCTTGCAAGCATACAAGTATCGCTGTTCTAGTTGTCCAAACTTTCACTACAAAAAATAAGCTATTTTGTCTTATTTTTCTAGCCAGTAATTGTTTAATTCACTAGGTCATTTTTCGTGTATGTTATTAGAAATTGTTATCTATATTCTACCAAAAATAAAAACTTGTATGTTTATTTAGAATCAGATACACAAAATATACTGTATGTTCACTAAGGTATCTCTGTAAAGCTTTGTATTTAATGATATCTCTGTAAAGCTTGATATTTACTGACTTATCGTTAATAGTAAAAATACATAATACACTGTACAAAGATTATCATACTGCTTTTCAGTGCTTTTACTCAGTATCGTACAGTACCATGTTCTCATATGTCGATATAAAAAAAAGGTCAAATCTATAACAGAGTTATCGTAAGTGTGATAGAAAAAGAACTTGACAAGTTTGTACCACGTGATTGTTCGTGATATACTTGATGAAGGTCAGTTTCATTTTATCATTGGATAAGAATATTATCGCTACTAAGATATGTTACAATGTTGAAAACCGCCATCATTTTCAACTTTCTTTAATAGCTGTTTACTTGAGTTTCTCGCTGAGTAAGCATCGGTGAAGTTTTTGTAAGTTCGTTTCGAAGCCATTTTCAGTTTAGTAGATTTGCACAGCGTTCCATTTCTGCTTTAGCAACATCATTCTTTGACCAAGAGACTTAATTTCGCCACTTCAGAAGCTGAGAAACCAAGAAAAGTAAAGTGAATATAAGGGGATATATATATATATAAGAATTATTACTACAAAGAAAAAGCCCAAGTTTAACTAGAAAACAGACATTAAATATTTCTTCTGTGAGTGACAATGGAATTCGAAGAAGTACTTAACGAAATTGGTGATTATGGAATTTTTCAGAGAAGGCTTGTTTATTGGTTCCTGTTACCAGCAACTGTGCCATTGGCATGGTTTGCTCTTAACCAGATCTTCATGTTGTCAGTTCCTGACCACTGGTGTTATGTTCCAGAACTTTCTGAATCCAACCTCAGTGTTCAGCAGCAACAGATGTTGATTCGGCCAATTGAAATTCAATTTGGGTTAGAATTACCCAGTCAATGTCGTATGTACGACCTGAACTACACTAGTGTCCTTCTAGATTTTTTAGAAAGTCCATACTCAAACATAACTTTCCAAAACTATACTTTGGCCTCAGATGTACCTAAAAAAGCATGTCAGAATGGTTGGGCTTACGATAGAACATTGTACGACTCTACGGCTTCCACTCACGTAAGTAACTTACGATAAGAGCGACTAACGCTTTTATTACTTTTTTTTCGTTTAAAAGATATAAATTAATATAATATTGTATATTGTAACTAACTCCGGGTAAAAACTTTATAAGTTTCAGAATTTATAAACATGCATTTATTTTTAAAAATTTGTAAACGTAAATAATATATTTCTGTTAAAGTGTAGACTGTCTTTTTATGCTATACAATAGTTTCAATATGGTTTTAAGAAAGAGATTGATACTTGAAAAGACTAATTTCTGTAAATACACAGCCATTTTTAATTAACTTTCTTATAAATGTTTATATATATATATATATATATATTTGTTTGTATTTGAATTTCGTGTAAAGCTATTTTGAAGCGATAGACTAGAGGGAAAGTAGCTAGTCAAAACCACCCATTACAAATTCTTGTAATATCAATCAAAAGTGGGATTGACCATAACATTATAACGCCTCATGGTGACAGTATTTGAACTCGCCATCCGAAACTTTAAAGTCGAGTGCTCTAACTACCAGGCCATGCCATCTTACAAATGGGGGGTGGAGGTCAAGCAATAGATAAAGCTCGTTATTCAATGCAAATTAAAATCAAGTTAGTTAAGACAGGAGCAAGAGGATTACCCTTGATCATTTCATTAGTTTGGTCTTATTAGACTCTCTGTACATTTAAAACTGGGTTATATAGTGGCAACATAAGGTTTTTGGCAAGAGTGAAAGGTTTTAGTGTTATTATTTACTTCAATTTAAGGTAGAACTATCTAACTGAGAAACCTAATCTTCTGGTACATGTGTGAACAAAAATATCGTATTAAAACAACAACCACAAAGACAGTGAGATAAAAGTATTTATCTTTTTGAAGAAAATCTGATAAACTTTTAGAAAAGTTGCGGTTTTCACATGGGTGCCAAAAACCAAACAAGGAACTGACCTGAATTTTTAAATAAAAGCTCTATAAGGTGATACAGTTCTGACATTAGAGGTTCCTATGGGCGTGTTTGTGTATTTTATAGCAAAGCCACATCGGGCTATCTGCTGTGTCAACCGAGAGGAATCAAATCCTTGATGTTAACGTTGTAAGTCCGTAGAGTTACCGATGTCCCACCGAGGGACTATTTCCTATGGGACGTTATGTTACAATTTCCGACATTATGAATGAAAATCTATGCGATCACCGAAGCAGCAATTGCCTTGTCTTTGTTTGTCGCAAAGCATAAAGCCACTCAATGGGGTATCTGTGCTTTGTCCACCTCAGGTATCGAAACCCAATTTTTAACGTTATAAGTCAATTGACTTGCCGCTGAGCCACCGAGGGACATTATATTGTGCTGGCTTATCTTTGAATATCAAGATAACGTAAAATACCCACAATGTATAAAAATATTACAGTTCATGCTTCTTCTAGTTAATGACCCGTCCAATATACTTTGTTGAGGGTGTTGTCGTCCACAAAGGTGACGTCCCAATGTGTCCAAACATAGGTTGATTAGAATCAGTATCAAACATGTAGTTATCAAATGTTTCTTAAATGTTTTGTGTGAAAACCTTGACATGTGTGTATATTACCAAAAAGGTTAGATAAAGTTATTTAGTGTAAAGATAGTAGTAACTGAAGAACAATATAAGTGTAAGAATGCTTACAAGTTTGATTTCATATATCTGATGCGTACATATCGTAGTTAATCGACTGTAGCTAAACCAAACAAAAAGCACAATGAAACCAAAACGTTTCTAAAGATATTTCTGTCACCGAACGTATCATTTTAAGATAACATGTCATATTTTTTTCGCTGACTAAACAACTACATAGATCTGAAACAGTACATGTACGCAGGTCGTTCGGTACAATAGTCCTACGGACTTTTCTGTTCGATAAAATAACATATCGCTTCTTGAAATCAAGCAAACTGGGTAAACGTTTTATAAACATGTGTTAAAAATAACCGCTAATTTAGCAGACCTTGAACACAAGTAATAAGCTGTGACTTTTAGAAACGTAATGAATATCACGACACCAGTATGTGACCATGAGAAGTAGATGAACATTATATACAAGTTTTATGAGCTATAATGAGGATCACATCACATATAATTGATCATAAGAAGAAATTATAGGCACGTTTTATGACTCACGTGCATAACGAGGATCACAACATCCAGATTTACTCATAAGAAATAGGTGAATATTGTATACAATTATCACAACTCAAAATGAGGACTGCAATACCTACACTTCATCATAAGAAGTAGGTGAACAATATATATACATTTCATAATCCAAAATGAGGACCAAAATACGTACAATTGATCATAACAAGTAGTTGAACATTACATACAACTGTAATTACCCACAAAGAGGACTACAACACCTACATCTGATCATAAGAACTAGATGAAAATTATATACAATTTTCATGGTCCAGAAGGAGGGTTACAATACCTATACTTGATTATAAGAAGTAGGAGAATATATACATAACCTTAATGATAAGGAAGGAGGACTACAGTACCTATACTTGATTAAAAGAAGTAGGAGAATATATACATAACCTTAATGATAAGGAAGGAGGACTACAGTACCTATACTTGATTATAAGGAATATGAGAATATATACATAACCTTAATGACACAGAAGGAGGACTACAGTACCTATACTTGATTATAAGGAATATGAGAATATATATACATAACCTTAATGATAAGGAAGGAGGACTACAGTACCTATACTTGATTATAAGGAATATGAGAATATATACATAACCTTAATGACACAGAAGGAGGACTACAGTACCTATACTTGATTATAAGGAATATGAGAATATATACATAACCTTAATGATAAGGAAGGAGGACTACAGTATCTATACTTGATTATAAGGAATATGAGAATATATACATAACCTTAATGACACAGAAGGAGGACTACAGTACCTATACTTGATTAT